CCCCAAAACCCCAAAACCCCAAAACCCCAAAACCCCTTCAGTTTTTATAAAAATTGAAAATGACGATACTTCTACCTCTAATTTCCTTCTTTCTCTTAATTTCCTTCACATCTTGATCAGAGTATGAATCCAGTCTAATCTTCTAGCTACGGGCCTTGCAGGGTCTTCAAGTGTAATGGCATGAGCAGCCAGGCAAAGGCAGACAACACCTGAGTTGAGTACAATCAACAAGAACAACAAGAAGTCTCAGTCAGAAGCTGAACAGATCAAGAATACTGCACTGCCCAGTACTGGCTCAGACCTTCATCCATGCATGAAAGTGCGTATTGATACAAAAAGCAGAGAGAAGAAGAGAGCGAGGTCTTACCAGGAGAGACCTGTAGCCGAGACAGAGAGTGATTTGGATACCAGGATGGAGCAAAGTGCCACAACAATGCATGAGTCTCAGCAATGTAATCAAAGTTTGTTTTAGATAAGGCTTTGGGCTGATGGGCTTAGTTTTAGTGTAGGAGGCAAATTAGAGAAGGGCTTACCTTCATCTTTTGCAAATTTGTATGTAAAGTTTTGTAATTTCTTAAAACTCCTTCAAACTTAATTGTGCTTAAATATCAAGCGCAAGAATTTTCAGCTTCTAGATGTTTCTCCAGATCTCTGAAAATCCATAATATTCAGACAGGAATAAAGTATATTATAGCTATGACAGATGCCACGGGCTGAAGGGTGACCCTTCCAAAGGCCACAGGTGGTGCAACTTTGGCAGTTATTGTGAAGAGACATCTCAAGAATGAAAGCCAACATTCAGAGAGCACCAAAAATGAGATAATAGTTATCAATGAGGATTCGGGATGGCATGTATTGGTAAGTAATCTTTTAATTTTTAGCTCAATCTCCAAATTTTGAAGAATTTAAGTGCACAAGATTTCATTCATTAAAGGAAGGGGACTCATTTGACTCTACAAACATTATCGAAAGAGGCCTTTTCTTTCAACCTGATGATATCTGTCTCAGTCAAAATGCCTTCTCATTAGGTAACAAGAAGTTTGAATGCAGGAAGGCTGATAGGAGCAGAGAACAAGATATTGACATGCTTGAAAGACGTCAAGGAGCTGGAGAAAAATGTCATTTCTCTTCCTGGGATGACGCCGAAGATTTAAGCAAAGAGAATCATAATGTTGATTACTCAACCTGTGGTTTTAATCAAGATATATCTGGGTACTGAAGAATAAGAAAAGGAGATGATGCTTTTGCTGAAGTTCTTGATCAAGTGCATAAAGTTAATTTCACAAGTCTTAACTGACATATCCTCTCAGGAGTATCTACTTGTAAAGCTCTACAGAAAGCAGCAGGAAATGATCTCACTACCAGGTGGAAAAGGATGAAGATTGTTACTAATCCTAATAAAGAATGGGCAAGCTTTGCAAATAATGATGAATGTATCAAAGAAACTATAACAGCTCAGTTCTGGAGAGAAAATAGTGCATGGATAATGATTCAAAGCAAGGAAATTATCATCACTCTCCTAGTCTTCGCATTTATTTGGATATAATTGCATATATGAGAATTCTTTTTCAACACTAAAATTTCTAAATGGGGTTTTGGGGTTTTGGGGTTTTGGGGTTTTGGGG